GAGAGAGAGAGAGAGAGAGACGACGGAGACGAGAGCACGCATCGACGGTGGAAGAGAATGGACAACGCGAAGAGCAGCGAGATCGAGGAAGAAGAAGGTTGACGATCACGCGGGGGAGGGTGTCTTGGCGATGATCAAACGTAGGGATTCTCGTTAAATAATCGCGTTGCACGTTATCGATAAACGAGCAAACGGATGCCAGTGATTTGGGTGATTAAACATTCCGATACTAACGACGAATTTAGTCGTCCATCGTGTTGAACAATCGGCGACTGTAATAATTACTACACTAGTCGTGTCCTTTTTTAATCCACTGCGAATCGAAAGGGGGGAGGGGGAGAGGGGGGGGGGGAATCGAAAGGACATGATTGTAAAGAAAGGAAGGCGAATTTATCAACATCGACGAGAGGAATTCTTCCAAAACTGTGGTTATTCGATGGGGGTTCGCAGTTGATAAAAGTGGCATCGAATCTACAAGGGAAAAATCGGATGTAAAAAGTTTTCCCTTCACACGTCGATCGTGTCAGTTTGTATAAAATTCGAAACACACTCTGATCGCGCCGGCTTTCACCAGACGTTGATGGGACAGATTTTACAAAAAGTATCGCAAAGACGATTTTCTGAAAATTATCACCCAGTCTTTGGATAAGAATCCTGTCGGACTCGCGACTTCTAGGCATTTGCCTTCGATTTCTGCTGGTAGTAGTCTTCGAGAGACGATTTTTCACGCTTTTACAACTATATTTAACGCCCGGGTTCCGAGTGTTAACGCTTTCGCGGCGGGAATTATATACTTGTCAATGTCATTAATATTTCGTACATAAATCACTGCGATTCAAACAATAAATAAAATAAGTGGACTCGTGTCTCTGAAATTGATATTTTGACAAGAGCAACCATAAGTCTTTTTTCAAGTAATTCAAACGACAATCCGAAATCGGTCACATCGAGCAGAGTTTGGGGGTGCAGATTTTTGTAATGCATTGATAAAACTGCAACAGTTGAATTAATACAGTACAAGTGACAAGGATTGTACAATTATTTAGAAAAAATGATATTCCTTACACGCGACTGTCACTACTACAAACGAAGTGAGAAACGATTTACCATTTTTGTTTAATTATACGCGTGTGTTTCTAGGCATTTGAATGAATTTTGTCGTGACATGTGTAAATAATTGCTCGCGTGTACGCACACACGATTTCACCATTTTTTTTCTTTTTTTTTTTTCTTTACTTCAAAAAGCCTGTGAAATTTTAGGCTCTAGCCTTTAGGTAGTTCGAGTGTCGGACGTTTCCGCGAAACGTCGATTAAACGATTGCCCTCGATTCGTCCCGCGTCTGCTCGCCTCGCCGCTTGTGTCGCTTCTCGGTCAACCGTCTCTTGCCGATCGCGAGAGATCGATCTCCCCTGTGTCTTTTCAAACTAGAGAAATATATATATATATATAGAGAGAGAGAGAGAGAAAGAACGACGATAGTCGTCGTGTAGCGCGAACGAAGGAAAGAGAGACACGACGGAGAACAGGAAAGGAGAGAACAACGAAAGACGAGACGGCGATAAGGGTGGGAAATTGGGAGGGGGGGGAGGAGAAAAAAAAATATACTGTATGTGTGTGTGTGTGTGTGTCGGGCCAGCAGCTAGGTAAATCCTGCAAGATCGATCGATCTCTGGGTTGTTGTGGGTGCAGCCCCGCAGGGAAAATCACGAAAAAAGAAAAAAAAGAAAAAAAAAAAAAAAAGTCGAAACGACTGACTATTTTCTAGCTGACTATTCGACACTGCTGAAGCTGAAGGCGCCCACGTGGACGCGGCACGATCTGCAGGAGGCGATCGAGGCGGTGGTCACGCAGAAGATGCGCTTCACCCAGGCATCGACGAAATACGGAATACCGAAAGGCACACTGTACGACAACATCCTTGGAAAGACGAAGAGAATGATGGTGCTCGAGGAAGCGGGGCTGAACTCGAGCGAGGAGACCGCCGTCCTCGAGTTCTGTTGCGACATCAGCGTCAGCCCGTACAACCGCCGTACGAAAAAGTCGCTGAACGCGATCCTGAACTTCGTGGAGAAGCTCAGGCGGAAACGCGACCCTAACTTTGTCTTTAACGGCCTGTCCGGCTTCCGTTGGTGGTGGGCATTCTGTAAAAAACACTCGATCGTGTCGCTGTACTTCAACGACGAGAACGAGAACGATCAGTAACGATCGTGGTTTAGGCTTCTTTCTCTCTTTGTAAATTCACACAATTGTAAATTACTTGCCCCCTTCTTACGCGTGTATAGATCTATACATTGTAAATCGTGTAAATCGTGTAAATCGCGTTCTTCCCGCGTCGACGATAATAACGAATACCGATTGTAGGTGATTGATCGGTAACCGGTTGATTTCGTTCATTTCGAAGCCCGAAGGCCAGGGACGACAGCGACTTTATCGATCCATATTTCTCACATTCCACGCGTATTCGCGCCCGTATTCGGATCCGGATCCTTCGGGGAAATTCTTTCGAACGAGCCTAGCATTCGATGGTTGGCGCCCGTAATAAGTAGTAGCGATAATGATAATAGTAAACGCTCGGAGCGTAGCAAGAGCAATAATAATACATCGCGTTATCGCTATGTTCGGGTTAACGATTGTTCCAGCGATAAGCCAGCAGTGCCTTTCTGCTCGACGTCTTCCAATCCCCGTGCGTAGTTTCATAAATTCGATCCTCTTATTTTTAGATTCCCCCGAGCTGCGACTCGAGAGCCTCGTCCTCGCGACGTTATGGAATCGATCGATAAAATCAAGCGCGATCCGTTGCATCGACGAATCTCAAATCTCGTGTGTGTATGTGTGTATGGTGTATGTGTGTACGGTGTATTGTAAATAATTTCACATTCGGACGGGTTTAATTTTCATTTTATCGCGGGATTAGTTTATTAGCGAATCGCAGGTCGTTCGTTCGATCGAAATTTATCATTCCGTTTCGAAAAGACAAAAGTTTATTTTTTTTTCTTTCTTTTTTTGCGACGATTTTGTCGAGAGCAAAAAAAAAAAAAAAAGAAAGAAAATTTGTTAAGCTCAACGACGAAAGATCGTCAAGCTGCG